TTCCGGGGACCAGTTGAAATAGGGTCCCCTACTCCTCCACCATCTTTCCCCCGACCGACAGATAAAATTCTTTAACTGACCTGTGGTGCCACATGATCTTGCCACTTACCACATTTGCCAAAAATGTCTTGCTTTCAAGCCTCAGTGGTCCTATTTCTTGCTGTGTTTTCTCTCCTGCCATAAGGTTTTCATTTATGCTGCTCCCTCTGTCTCAAATACTCTTCTCTCTTCCTCTTCACCTCTTTACCTTTACCTCTCACCTCTTGCTTCCAATCACAGCTCAAGCAACAGTTCTTCTGAATAGGCTCTTCCCAATTGTGATTAGGCCAAGTGTCTTTTTATAAGCTTTCTACCCCCATGTGCCTCTCCTTCCCATCTCTTGTTTTGGTAGCAATTTTATATCTGTTTTTTGCTTAACTGATACCTGTCTCCCTCACTAGATTATAAGCACAATTGAGGGTTTGTGCATGTAAAAACAAACATGATCCCAGCACCTATAATGATTCTTGGCACTAAATAAGCCCTCAATAAATACTGTTGAACACATGTGAATGAGTAAATAAGTGGGTGAAGGCATACAGCCTTCTCTCAAGGCAGTCCCGGTCTAATGGGAAGATAGCAATTGCAATTCAAAATGAGAGGTGTGTTCTTTACAGATATCAGGGGAAGATATAGATTAATGAAATCCAAAAGCCTAGGAACCACCACTTTAGGTCCTGAGGAATTTTGAGAGAGAGGATAATGTGATCTGAAATGTAATTTGGAAATTTTCCTGTGGCAAGACTAAGCCCAGAGGCAGAGGTATATATAAGAGATTATTTCACTAGTCCTGGTGAGAGATGCAAACCTGAATTTAGTTGGAAAATATGGGGAAGAAAAAAGAGATAAGAAGTGGAAGATGTAAAAGTGGTAGAAACTATTGGATTTAATGGCAGATTTAATATGGATGAAGGAGAGAATTTAGGTGACTGGGTGATGCTATTAATCAGAGTTGGGACTGTAGGAAGTGGAATTAAATTTGTGGATAAAGTGATTGAGTTACACTTGGGGCATATGATTCTGTAAAATAGCATAGCATTGTAGCTTTGGTTTTTTTTATGCCTAAAGCTCTTAATACTTCTTGAAACTTTGTCTTCCCTTGACTTCCACATTTTCCTGGTTTTCCTCCTACCTCACTGGGCGTTACTCAGTTCCCAATGCTAGCTCCTCCATCTGACCTCCAAATGTTGGTAATTTCAAGAATTAGTCCTGGGTTCTTTTGATTATGTGCTCTACTTTTTCTCCCAGTGATATAATCCAGTCTCATTTCTTTAAATACCATTTATGCACTGATGACCTCTCCCTAGCCTCTCTCCTGAACTCTCCAGACTAGTATACCCAACTGTTTACTGGACATTCCTACTTAAATGCCTAAGAAGCATCT